TTAGTATAAAATAGGTCACTAATTATAATGCTGTTATTTGGATTGATTGGGAATTGCTCGGCTTGATTAAATTCCATTTGCAGCAGGCAACATTTAACGTTGCGTACGCAAGCATATATCATCTAATTGGAAGGAAGGTGGTGTTTGTTAGCACTTAGCACAAGTACTTGTGATTCAAAAAAAAAATTTTGGGTAACAATATTTAATTTGTAACCGTCCGAACTTTTTCTCGATGAAGATATTGTCCGCTTTAGGTCTCAACCCTCACGGAGGGTGCTATTCAAGGTGACTTCACATAAGGTCACCCATCCTTGTTGTACTTCACGGAGGGTGTTTGTACTTCACAAGAACTCTTCCCTTTCACTCCAAAACACGTATTGTCAGTTAAGACCGATTTCTTACTTATGCACCATGGATCTCACCCGTGGTTTGTAGATGTGGGATTCGCCTAAAATGTTACAGTATTCCCATTTGTATATTTTATTTTTTTCACCCAAGTTCATCAATTGTTACGAGCATATTATCTTGTGTTTGTTGCTCCTAACCTTTGAAAGAATACCAATCAGTAATCACGCAAAGCATATTATCTTATGTTTTATTTTGTTTAACGCAAGCTCATCATCGATTGTTCGAGCATATTATCTTTTGTGAATATGTTAAAACAGGAAATCCTGGTCAAACAAACTCTCACATTTTCTCGTCCTTATTTGAGATTAAACAAATCACTGATATCAATTTGTACGTGGATTCCCAACTCCCTTCTTTGTCAAACAATTCGAAATCGCGACTTTCAGCCAGGCGTGCTGTTAATTTGAAGGTCTCGATGGTCACGAAAGAAAATGACAGTACGTAGTTCACGTCAGAAAAAAAAAAAAAAACTGTTATGCTACGGTAACTCCATTATATCTTTAATTAATGATTTTCCAGGATTATTAAATATTCCATCTGTTGGTAACGATCGAAGAGTTTTCTTTTGTGTGCATAAATAGAAGTAGTTCTATCCCGGCCCTCGGGTTGGTTTAATGGTTTGTGCACGTCAAATAAGGATCCCTGATCATATATAACTAGCCCTAGTGTTGGCGATCAACATATTGAGTTCAGGCTATCAACGGCGGACGACAACAGTGACTAATCTCTCGTTACGCCTAGGTGATCATGCACGAAACGTCAAATGGTTAGAGACAGAGCGAGTCTGAGCTATCTTCCCCGTGAGCAGGGATCGATTCTCGATCAATCTCTCGAGTGTTGTTCATATTGGTTGGTATTTCATTCATGAAAAATAATTTTGCAGGTACTGTAATTCCATCAGGGTTCAGGAGGCTATGTTTTTTGGTGAGAGTAATACGTACATGCTGTGGAAAATGCTTCTTGTTTGGGATCAACCCTAATTAACAATGTAGGTCTAGCTAGCACTTCTGGGTTACTTCAAATTAACTAAATATAGAGATCAAATTGTAACCTGTCAAATAAAAAAATATAGAATAGAAATGTAATTTAATGGCCAGTCAAATCAAATTTTGTATATAGGATTGTATGCTTCGATTGATCAACATGAAATAACTAAACTAACACCGTCATATGATGATGACGAAGAAGATAAGATCGATCGATCATTTATTTCATTAAAGACATGCAGTGAAAACACAGAGAACGTCCGGCCGGCTGGTGTGCTGACCGGCTTATCGGGAAAAGTAGGAGGAAAAAAAAAACCATCAATTTGAAAGAGCATAACAAAAGGGGGAAAGAACATACATGAAAGAAAGCAAAGTGACAAATATATACCATAAATATTGATCTTATCTCCATCGTTGAAATATTTTCGAACGAAAAATAATAATAAAAAAATCACATGAATATTCGAAGCGTTTGACTCATAATATCCTCATGGTAAATGCCGAAAAATATATTATTGTGGTAGATAGGCTATACCAATGGTAAATCATGACCTCCACAACCGATATCTTTTAAGTTAAAAAGAGAAAAATAGAAAATCACATGAATCGATGTGTTTTAATCATGGCTCCTATACTATGACAGTAAATAAATATTAAAAAATATATTATCGTGGTAAATAAAATCGTACCATATATCATCACGATAAACTATACATAAATACCTATATTTTTTTATATTAACAGCAGTGGTGAAGGTACGTTGAAACTAGGAAGGATTATATATCCCCAACTTTCAAATATAAGTTAAATGATATGTAAAATATGTAACTAATTTAAAAAATTTATTGACGTTCTACTCTCCAATTATCACGGTTCAAATTTATTGAGCAATCATTAAGGAAAGGAAGGAGAAGGCTATGTTATATATACCTGCTGTCTGTCCCGCCGTTGGAGGCGTTAACTGATCGCCATCCGATCAGCATGAGGATCATTCCCGCCGGCCGACGACTGTGGACTATCTACCGGCGGCTCCGTCGTCGATGCGCTTGCAGGAAAAAGGCCTGCATACATACATGCAAACCAATATATGTATATAGAATAGTACTGTTCATTAATTATCTGCAGTATCAAATTTGTCCCAAAGCCAAGAACTGTTCATTAATTAACAAGAAGCACTAATGGAGATGGAAATGAATACATGGAATAAGGGTGATCAGCAGCAAGAAAGCCAACTAGGCAACGTTAATTTGTTTAGAAATCGCCGATTTATTGGGTAAATAATCCAACTATTATGATCCATATATGTTTATTGGATTGGATTCGTGTATGCACTTAATTGTTTGGAGTTTGGAATGGGCTTAAGGCCCACTCATCCTTTCTATCGGATGGGCTAAGGCCCAGCCCGCTAAAATCTCTACCAAGACTTTCTCCCTGGCACAAAGGCCCATCCACCCAATCAAATAAGTTAGGGACAGTGGTCTACGTACTGGTAATTTTGCATGCATGTGTTTGGCAGATTCGTCGTCGAAGGGATCTGACTATGCATGCATGATCGATCACTTGGGAAGGTAAAAACGACATTAAGGATTTTCTGATATAAGATTTATTATTCAATCTATCTCCATAATTCTCGAGTTAATGTAATCAATTTATTTTTATATGAAATCAGAGTCTTTTTTATGATCGAGAGAGTTGTTCTATTCGAATCCCGATACCCCATTTGTAAATACATGATATTCTCGTTTTCAAAACCTTGTGTACACAAAAGCCCTTATAACTGATTTTTTATTTGATGGGACGTATGAAATTCATTATTGAAATCAGAGATGATCAGATCGATCATTTGTTTTGTTTTGTGAAGAAAGACAGAAAGGAAAACACCAAACAAAAGCAGTCCCAACTCATTAGGAAGGAAAAACTGCTCTGCCGGTGGAACAGCAGAAAGAAGAAGCCGAAATTACATGGAGATCGAAGCTGTTAAAGAAGGCAGAAGCAATGACAAGCATAGTCCTGGCAGCTGCAACCGACCCAGCAATAATCAAAATCTTGACCGTCGCACATATTTGGGTAAGTCGAAGCACACGTCTGGTCGTTGCACGTCTCGTTGCAGTCATCCTGCACCGACGACGACGAAGTAGTATTACTTTTGTGATTGTTGTTGTTGCTCATGTTGCTGGTGGAGGAGGAGGAAGACGATGGGGATGGCCGAGATACCGTCACTGGCAACGTTCCTCTTTCAGGCAGGGGGAGGGGCGACTTCTCGTCGTTCCTGGAACTGTTACGATTCACATGACGTGACATTCATTTTGATATATTTCGGAACAAAAGTATATTAGTTACACGAAATCATGTCATGATCGTATTTTTAATTTTCATAAATAAAAAATTCATTGAATTCGGAGTCGAAACGAAATGAAAGCAGGGAGGATATGATGCCAAAAAATTAATCTTCTTTCTCGCGATTCCAAGACTTTACATACCTGACATGAATCGGAGCATTGTCGTCGACATTCTCGGATTGCGGACTAACTGCTGCTCTTGATGCAAAGGAAGGTAAAACACCTGTAAATTTACGAATATTGGAAATTGTCATAAACCCAACCGAGATACATGTACATGAGAAGGTAACTACTTTCTTACACACGCCCCCCACTCAATCGAAAGTCAGCTCGTGGACTTGGAATTTGTACAGACCCGTCATACCATGCATAGCTTTTAAATCAAAACCGCTAATGTTTAGAATGATGAGGAGACTTGATGAATGCGTGAGTACCTCACGCGATAAAATCAAGTCGAGTACATCAAAATGAACATACTGATTTCAATAACTCGCGAGTTGTTGAGAGAGTTTAACCACTTATATATATTAAGACGAGGATAGAGATCAAATTGCGTACATGGAAGGAGGATGAGAAGCAGGACGGCCAGCTTGTCAGCAACTGTTCTGCTGGGAATCGCCATGGAAGGATGATTAGCCACTCTACTAATTCTGAAATGCTCTCGACCTCTGTAGCTGATAGTTTTCTCCCGGCGCCGGCCCTTGTCCCGACGGGGCGGCCTCCGGACTCTACAAACGCGCTTCTTTGCTCTTCGACGGATCAGACAGGTAACGAGGCGATCGCCCCGTCGACGGACATGGTGGTTGAGGTGTCCCCTCCACCGGTGGTGTCGCAACCGTTGATCTCGTATGCTAGTGCGGTGATGGGTCATAAAAACGTGACTACACAGAGCCCAATCGCCAGCCTCTGGACCCCTGTCGGGGAGCACGATCTCATCGCGGGCGAACGGAACGGGGAACCAGCTCTGAGAGTCTCGGCGTCTTTCAAGAACAAGATATGCGAGCCTTGGCAACGCACTCTCGTAGTGAGACTTCTCGGATGCAAAATCGGATTCGCTGCCCTGTGCTCCCGCCTCCGGTCGCTCTGGAGACCAGTGGGATCGTTGGAAGCCATAGACCTCGATCAAGACTGTTTTCTGGTGAAGCTTTCTAACGAGCAGGATTACTTCCGCGCGTTAACGGACGGCCCCTGGGTCATCTATGACCATTATCTAGTAGTTCAGCAGTGGACGCCCAATTTCAAGGTTTCGGACCCCCAAACGAAGAAGATGATCGTGTGGGTGCAGCTACCGGCACTCAAAGTTCACTTCTATCACAAAGAAGTTCTGCATATGCTGGGGAACCTAATCGGGCGCACGATTAAACTAGATTACCATACCTTAACGCAGCAGAGGGCCAAATTTGCAAGATTGGCGGTGGAGGTGGACCTGAGCAAACCTCTGGTCCCAAGAATTTGGCTCGACGACGAATGGCAGGCGGTGGAATACGAAAACATACCGACGGCATGTTTTGAATGTGGCAGGATTGGGCATGTTTCCGCTGCTTGCCCTCTCCTTCAACCAACGACGTCCCCGGTGAAGGCGGTGCAGGGCCTGCAAACGTCCCCGACGGCGACGGCGGAGGAACAGCCCGGCTTCGGCCCTTGGATGCTGGTTACGCGTAAAAGTAGGCGGAACTCCCGCGACTCCACCGTGAAAGGAAAGACGGAGATTTCGTCCAACGGCCAAATGGGAAAAACAGGGAAGGAAGTGGCGATGATCAAGGGCGGAGATAACTTACCTAATAAGGATGCCGTCATCATCTCCAGGAACGACAGGAGCGGCGGCCAAGAAAAGAAAGGAAGGAGCGGAAACAAGACAGGTGGTGACTCTCGCAAAGGGAAAGAGAAAATGGGCTCCGAGCCCGCTTTGGAGAAAGGCCTCCTTGGTCCTGGGCCCGCTGTTAAAACCAGACCCGGGACTGGGCCTTCGGCAGCTCCTATCAACACTCCAGGCTCCGCTTCGGATCGGGACATGGGTTTATTGGGCCGGGACGAGCCCAACCCCGAAAGCCCCAAAAGGGACCCGGGCTCTCCTGCTCAGACGCTGGTGTCGGGCCCAGGCTCTTCCTCCCCCTTGGTCCACGTGAGACAGGGCCCTAATGGCACCTCTCTGCAAATTATTGAGGTGAGACCGAGAAGCTCCTCCTCCAAGAACGAAGCGGAAGCGCTCTCTCCATCGGCCAGGTCGCGGACCAAGAAGAATAAAATTGACAAGAACAGGCAGCCTAAACCTTCCCCTTCAAAGCTCAAATCAAGAAAGCCTCTTCAAGTTTGGTCGCCAGTTAAAGACAGGAAGCCAAAATCCAAAAGCAGAATGGCTACTCTGACGCTGCAAGAGATATCGGCGTGGACGGAAGCTAAAAATCAGAAAACCAGGGAGTTTGGTGCTGGGAACCCAGCGGTGTCAGCCAGCGAGCTTCCCTCCCCAACCCGCCAGGATGCGACGGCGGCTTCGGCGGATAACAACCAATAGAGCCTTCCTTCCTTCTCTTCCTTTTCTTCCTGTTTTATATCTTTATCGATGTCTCACAATTTTAATCTTGAATTTAAAATCTTCTCTTGGAATGTTGGTGGAGCAGGTAGCAACTCCTTTCGTCGAGCCTTGAAGTTGACTATCCAGGTTCAACGGCCAGATTTTGTAATCCTTCTTGAGCCCCAGATTAGCGGAAGAGCTGCGGATTCCGTGTGCGATAGACTTGGATATCCTAACTCGATCAGAGTGGATGCGGAGGGACGGAGAGGGGGGATCTGGGTCTTCTGGGATGCAGGGGCCTTCTCGGTTCAGCTGCTCTCCGCCTGCAACCAGCACATCTCGCTCCAAGTCTCTCGAGGTTCTGGCCCATCATGGATATTGACTGCCGTTTATGCATCTCCCCAGTACAGCCAGCAGCAGAGTCTTTGGGATAACCTGATCAATCAGAGCAAATGGATTAACATTCCCTGGATCCTCACCGGGGATTTTAATGCCATTCGCACTCTAGACGAGAAAGCCGGCCCCTCCACTGCAAGCACAGCTCGCAGATGCAGGACCTTTAACGACCGGATCAACACTGCTGAGCTCATTGACTTGGGGTTCTCTGGACCTGCCTTTACCTGGACTAGGGGAGATGAGGACAGAACTTATAAAGCCAGCAGGCTGGATAGAAGCCTCTGCAATACTCGGTGGAACTCCTGCTTCCCCAACACGTCGGTCATTCACCTTCCGAGGCTTCAGTCGGACCACAACCCCATTTTAACTACTGTCTCAAATCAGGGAAGTACTTCGACTTTGTCTCGTCCTTTCAAGTTTGAGGCTGCTTGGCTGACTCACTCGGACTTATTCGACTTTGTTGCTAATTCTTGGGAGCCTGATACACCCTTACAGACTGCTTTACCTCTTTTGGCAGGAAAGCTCCAGGATTGGAATAAGAATGTCTTTGGCAACGTACAGCAACGGAAAAGGCGGCTACTGGCAAGGCTTAAAGGGATTGAGACTCGTTTAGCTGTGTGTTTTTCCCCAGGGCTAGCTAAGCTGCACTCCAAGTTGGAAGCTGAGCTTGATCAAGTCATGGAGCAAGAAGAGCTCCTCTGGTTTCAGCGTTCCAGGGAGAAATGGGTTCAGTTCGGGGAGCGGAATACGGGCTATTTCCATCAGCAAGCGAACATCAGGAGGCGTCGCAATAAGATTGAGGCTCTTCAGGATGCTCACGGCAATTGGGTGACTGAGCCTCAAGACCTGGCCTCTCTTGTGTTTAATTTCTTTGCTGATCTTTGTACGCAAGAGGAGGATACCTATGAAGACAAGATGCCCAAAGGAGCTTTCCCCCGTCTCAGCCAGACCGAGTTGCTAGAGCTCTTGCGGCCCTTCACCGGCATGGATATCCATAGAGCCATCTTTGATATGAAGCCTTTTCAGGCCCCGGGTCCGGACGGCTTTCAAGCTTGTTTCTATCAGCATATGTGGAGGACTGTTGGTCGGAACCTCATTGACATGGCTATCAAGTTCTTTGAGACGGGTACTCTTCCCGAGGCGGTCACAGAGTCGACTCTTGTACTTATACCCAAGGGGGAAAGACCGGAGGTGGTGAGCCAGTTAAGACCGATCTCTCTCAACAACGTCAGCCTGAAGGCAATCACCAAGGCCATGACTAGCAGACTCAAGCCGATTATGAGGAGTTTGATCTCCCCTCGCCAGAGCAGCTTTATCCCGGGCCGCCAGACGACGGATAACATTATCGTAGTTCAGGAAGTTCTCCATTCGCTTCATAAAAAGAAAGGGAAGAGGGGAGGTATCATCCTCAAGATCGATCTGGAGAAGGCTTATGACAGGTTAAGGTGGGACTTTCTCCGGGATACTCTGAAGGAGGTCGGCCTTCCAAGCACGTGGATCAGTTGTATCATGCACTGTGTCACTCAAAACAGGATGCAGATACTTTGGAATGGACAACTCTCTCAGTCTCTCAATCCGACTCGAGGAGTTCGCCAGGGAGATCCCTTATCCCCTTACCTCTTTGTTCTCTGCATGGAACGTCTCTCTCATTTGATTGATGAAGCTGTCTTTAATGGGCAGTGGAAAGCGCTTAGGCTGTCAAAGAATGGCCCGCCTCTCACTCACCTTTTTTTTGCAGATGATCTCCTGTTGTTTGCTCAAGCGGATACTCACCAGATCAGGGTCATCAAGCGGATTCTGGACGACTTCTGCTACAGTTCCGGGCAGCGTGTGAACTATCACAAGTCCATCCTTTATGTCTCCCCAAACATTAGCCGCGAAAGAGCTAACCGTATGAGTCAGCTTGCAGACATCCCCCTGAAGATGGCGCTTGGCAAGTATTTGGGCATCCCGGCGATTCATGGGCGAGTGACTAGGGAGAGATATCAACCCCTTCTCCTTCGCATTCAGAAGAAGCTGGCGCCCTGGAAAGCTAGGAGGCTATCTTTTGCCGCGAGAATCACAGTGGTTAATTCGGTTTCTGCTTCTATTCCTGTTTACTACATGAATTCTGAGCTGATACCGAGTGGAGTGTGTCACAGCATAGATAAGATGAACAGGGATTTTGTTTGGGCGGAGGAGGAGAACAAGAGCAGGATGCACCTGGTGGCTTGGGATAAAATGGCGGTGCCGAAGAAGCACGGAGGAGTGGGCATCCGGCCTACCAGACAGGCCAACCTGGCCATGCTAGCTAAGGGGGGATGGCGGCTCATCAAGGAAAAGGAAACTCTCTGGTCTCAGATCATGCATGCCAAGTATGGTCATCAAAGGGAGAACCTGGATATCCTCTGCAGTTCTCAGGGAAGTTCCTTTACCTGGAAAAGCTTTGCTAAAGCTGTTGATGTGTTAAAGCAGGGATGTGCCTGGAATATTAAGAATGGTAAGCGCACTAAGTTTTGGTTGGATTCTTGGGTTTTGCAGGGGAGCCTGAAGGAGGTGGCCACTATGCAAATTGCCGAGGACATGGAGCAAATGACGGTGGCTGATTACGTGACTGTCGAGGGAACGTGGCGCCTCGACATGTTCGAGGCCTTCCTGCCTGCTGAGGTCTGTCAGAAGATTCTCAGCGTGGCGGTCGACACGCTCTCCAATGAAGAGGACACGCTGTTCTGGACTGCTTCCCCGGACGGGAAATTCTCAACCAAGACGGCCTTCAACCTCATCATTCCGCAGCCGCAAGACCCGGATGAGAAGCTGTGGAGGACGATCTGGCGCCTTCCAGTCCCGGAGAGGGTTCGTGTTTTCATGTGGCAAACGTGCACCGGGAAAATTGCCACTAACAGTCTCCGTTTTCACAGGAAAGTAGCGGCGGATCCTTGTTGTCCGAAGTGCCCGGGGTCACCAGAGACAATCTTGCACACTCTCAGAGACTGCCCCCCAGCTACTTTCTTTTGGCTTCGGCAGATCGCGGGTTTGCAACAACAAGACTTCTTCACTCTCGATCAGGGAGATTGGCTGCGGAGCAATCTCTCGAGGACGGATACGGTGGCGACAGGGATGCCTTGGCCTGCTCTTTTTAGTACGGCGCTTTGGCTCATTTGGAAAAACCGTTGTGTTCTCTGTATGCAGGGTACTGGAGCAGCTCTCACCCCCCCCCCCCCTCACTGGAACACTCGATTTTGGCCAAGACGAAGATGTGGTACAATGCTTGGCTCGCCCCTCCTCTCCTTCCCTGTAAAGGAAATCGCCCAGCTGACAGAGTGGAGGAAGAAGTGGGTTGGAGGTCACCGCCAGAGGGATGGATCACGTTGAACACTGACGGAGCCTCCAACGGCAATCCTGGGCCAGCAGGGGCTGGGGGTGTGTTACGCGATCAGATGGGGCACTGGGTCGCAGGCTTTGTCGCCAATCTTGGCACCGCCACGGCGATTCTCTCGGAGCTTTGGGGAATTTCCTTTGGGCTTGACATCGCTTGGAAGCACGGAGGAAGAGCTATTCACATCCAGACAGATTCGCAGCTGGCGCTACAGCTTATTGAGGCTAGACATGACCCGATTCACCCGTATGCTACTCTCCTCTCCACCATTCGCAGGAAGATTAACCGTGACTGGCTGGTTCACCTAACGCATACTTACCGAGAAGGGAATAGAGTCGCGGACTGGCTCTCGAAGCACAGTCTCGTCTATCCCTACGGCATGCATGAGTTAACGAACCCGCCGCCAGGAATTAATTCTCTGCTCAGGGACGACATGATGGGCATTACCAGCACCCGCAGGGTGGTTGCTACCTCTCCTTCCCCTCTTTTCACCTCCATGTAATCCTCTTTTCTTGGCTGTTTGCCTCCGTCTAATGCAAAAAAAATATATATACCTGCTGTCTGTCCCGCCGTTGGAGGCGTTAACTGATCGCCATCCGATCAGCATGAGGATCATTCCCGCCGGCCGACGACTGTGGACTATCTACCGGCGGCTCCGTCGTCGATGCGCTTGCAGGAAAAAGGCCTGCATACATACATGCAAACCAATATATGTATATAGAATAGTACTGTTCATTAATTATCTGCAGTATCAAATTTGTCCCAAAGCCAAGAACTGTTCATTAATTAACAAGAAGCACTAATGGAGATGGAAATGAATACATGGAATAAGGGTGATCAGCAGCAAGAAAGCCAACTAGGCAACGTTAATTTGTTTAGAAATCGCCGATTTATTGGGTAAATAATCCAACTATTATGATCCATATATGTTTATTGGATTGGATTCGTGTATGCACTTAATTGTTTGGAGTTTGGAATGGGCTTAAGGCCCACTCATCCTTTCTATCGGATGGGCTAAGGCCCAGCCCGCTAAAATCTCTACCAAGACTTTCTCCCTGGCACAAAGGCCCATCCACCCAATCAAATAAGTTAGGGACAGTGGTCTACGTACTGGTAATTTTGCATGCATGTGTTTGGCAGATTCGTCGTCGAAGGGATCTGACTATGCATGCATGATCGATCACTTGGGAAGGTAAAAACGACATTAAGGATTTTCTGATATAAGATTTATTATTCAATCTATCTCCAT